AAGTACTTGTGCAATCTTAGGATGAGTTGCTGGACCAGAGATCTCTGGAAGAAGGTGACAAGCTTCCTGAGAAATTTATTATGAAGAATAATTATGTAAAATGATATTTCGAGACTAAATAATCTATGTCAAATGATATTTCGAGACTAAATAATCTAATACTGATATTTAAAGAACAAATTTTGAACTGTCCAGTATAAATAAAACAACATGCAATACTAGACACTTCATGCAAGTTTAAACGTATAAACTATTACTATTTCAAAATTTTCATGTATTCTTGGATCATAAACATCGTACCATGAACCAATTCATCTTAATTATCTTAACGATAAAAATAAAAAGTGGTTTACTTGGAACATGAATGAGCAGTAGAACAACAGCTGTAGTAAAAAAATCCATTTTTTTATTTTATTGTTAAACAAGTCATTTCATTTGACACAAAAGCTTATTGAGATTCTTAAGTTGGAATCTCGCCTTCTAGAGTAGCAAGGACTGGAGAGAAACCTTTTTTTTTTTAAGAAATGCCACAGCCTGACCATAGACATGTGAACCATGCCTAAAATATAAAAATAAACAGCATTAAAACCCTTGATACAATTGGTTAATCATGAAACTAACGTCGCCAAATAAAAGAAAAATAGGCATTCAAAAGCATTAACCATCTGAAAAAAGTAAAAAAGAACTTGCCTGCAGAGCTTTATCTGTGTGATCATCCAAGAGATAAAAGATTAAGGATTCCAGTAATAATTGCCTGGGTATGGCAAAGGTAGCTCCAAAATCCTCTAGAAGGTGTCTCCATTGCTCATCAGGCATTGTCCAGTGCCGATCAAATAGGTAATATAGAAACTGTTATAAATTAAGGAAATACAGATATCCCTAGAGGTAGGGGAGGCAGGATTTATGCCCAATTCAGGATATGCAGAATTAAGAAATATCCAAAGTTTAAATAAAAACAAAGGATACAATAGCTTGCTTCGCAACCACCAAATCTGAACTACCACATAGAAAAAGTATATCAACAGCTGCTCGAACATTTTCAAATGGATAGCATCCTGCAACCCCCTCTATCTTGGACCTGAGAATTGATGAAACTCCATCCTTCTGCAGAGATCCTAGTTTTAATCCCTCCACCCATTTCTCTGTATTTCCCTGCTCAATCTCCAGATTAACCAGGGCATCTTCAATAAATAGGGTACCTTCCCGTCCACTGGACTCTTCTGAGTTATTTACTGAATCAGGCCAAGAACGCTTAATTGCAGCAGATTTCCTTTCGCGAACAAGAGAATGCCATGATGTGAAATCCGTATAACGAGGCCTCACTTTCTCAAGGAACTCATGTCTTACACACCATATCATAACCTCCATATGCTGAAACCAAAAACCAAATTTCAAAAAACAATTACAAATTGTTTGCAGGCACATACGGATTTTTATTGGAAACCAGTCTCTTTGAAAATCCATAATGATAACGGTTTAGAAGAAAAATGTAACATTTGACCAAACTGAAAAGGTAGTGATCTTGCTGCAAGGAAGTTTTAGGCACAAGTAAAAGATGCAACAAAAGAAACAGTTAAAGATCCATGAAACAAAGCCCAACAGAATGTCACTTCTTGTGTTTCCATAGCTTCAGAATTAGCAGGTAAATAAATTATTAGTTCTTTGAGAGTTTAAGGATAGAGGAGTACAAACTATTAGTTCTTTAGAGAACTGAAGCATGTATAATATGATATCAGACACACAATATTCACAAATGAAAATCAGGCAACAATATCATGATAAACAAAAAGGAACAAAAATGTAAACAAACATAGCTACAACCTGCTTTGTCTTTAATATGCTCTCTTGAAGCTGGTGTAAGTCAAGAAGCTGAGCTGAAAGAGACCCTTCAAAAGATGAATCCAAAACTTCAATCACATTACATATGCCAGCCAACTGTGCAGAAAACTTAAGAAGTAAACTCAACATAGATTTCATCGGTTCCGCTTCAAGATTATCTTAGGATAGTAGATTAGGAAATACAAATTATTCAAATTATGCAAAGTACAAATGCACAAAAAATAACTAGGGGATTATATGTCAAAATATTGATAAAGATAAAAGGATACAAATGCCTTGAAGTTCTGTGATGATCTTCTGGAATGTTCGTTTGCACCAATCCTTCACAACCACTTCATCCAACAAAAAAGCAATAACAGGATCACTGGACACTGCACTTTCATCCAAACAAACATCTGTAACATCTGTTTATTCTATGTCAAAGAAAACATGAAGTGATCAACACAAATATGAACAATTAACAGAAACGGCAATAAAGTTTCACGAAAGACAGAATGTCCTATAACGCACATGGATCCTAGTTATCTGTTTAGCAGTTGATTTTTCAGTTTTCTCAAATTACTCCTTAGAATAATATGAGTTTTTACCTCTGATGAACAAGAATTTTACCTTTTCTAACGTACTCCCCTTTAATTGTAAGATATTAAAAGTTGTGGTGATTTTTTAAAAACTAAACTCTCTATCATGTGAACAAATAAAACAAAACAAAGAAGAAAAGGTAAAGAATCAAAAGATCATTAAAGGATACAGTGGCATATCAAAGAAACTAAGTTATTCTCCAGGGCAACATCAAATAAAGAATATAGGCGTTGGACATCAGCAGATATTTGCTCGTCCCCATCTTCTTTCTCTTGAAGTCTCTTATCACCTCTTTTGGGTATAAGATGAGCTTCTAGACACTGATCATAAAGGCGCCGGCATAATTTTGCAACATTCTTTGGTATTGGAATTCTACAAATCGGACACACATCACAGCGCTGGCTACACTCTGCACATAATGAAGCATGTCCACATGAGATGAGCACATCCTTTACTTGTCGTCCACAACTCCTCAAGTCTCGTGTTGCCCGACAGAACTCAACTTTAGATTCATTGCATAAGTCAATCAGATCAATAGATGCCAACTGTTCCAATGCTTCCTGAAATTAAAATTAGAGCAACATATAAATGACTTCTGATCTTATTTATCCACAAAGTACTTCATATAACTCCAAACATTACAGATCGTTCAATAAGGTGAATATTACGAACAAACAAACCTAGCGAACCAAAATAATTGTCAAAAAATAATGAAAAGGTAGTGCTTTAAACTTCACACTTTTACTTCACCTCCCAATTTTGTGCTACGTTGCAATCCTAAAACCAGACATTTCCCATCAATCGCTTATCGTCTCAATCCACTCCCCACATACACTCCCTTTTAACACTTCTAAAACCCTATTCATACGATGCAGCTAAATACATGAGGGATACCTTCTCAACAACTTTTCCATTGCACTCAATAAAAAAAAAAACATAAATCAAAATTACCAATATTTTCCTACTCAACAACTTTTCCATTGCACTCAATAAAAAAAACATAAATCAAAATTACCAATATTTTCCTACCCAAACTCCCTGTATAATTCACCAATTAAATTCTTCAAAACCCACCAAAACGTCACCGTAATAGCCCTATACAAATACCTGTACGGATTATGAACGAAACGCAGATAACAGGAACCAAACCGTGGCTATAAAAAAAGCTAGGGTTTTAGGCAGTATCTATGTTAAAGGAAAATGAAAATATATAGAGAATGAACCTGAACAGCTCGACTATTGTAGTTAGGTTGCGGAGCATGATAACCAGATCTTGTGGCTGGGCCGCCATTGACGGAGCTCGAAGGTCCTGTTGATCCGTTTGATCTCCTATCCATTTATCCGAGACTGCGAGAGTTGATTCCGTACGAAATGATGGAGAGAATGAATTGGTGAAGTGAGGTTGAAGCGGGTGGGTTTTAGGGTTTAGTAGCCATTGGAGCTCCCATAGAAGCTTCGGAGAGAGAGAATAAAGAGAGGGAGTTGTTTTGGGAAAAGGTTCAAAATTGGGATTTTGTGAGCGAAGGCTGTGAAAAATTGACATAAAGCAGGCCCACCTATCCTAGCCGAACCCAATACAATAAGTTGGACCCAACCTCAAACCTCATTTACAAGTGTATTATTTTCCTTTCAAAACCAAAGTTGTATGTGCTAGAGGTTTTTATCTGTTTTAGTCAAACGGGATAATTTTACTTTATCCAACGAATTACACACTTTGGCAAATTGGATGGCGACACATGATGCAATATCCCTCACCCATGGTTGACCCTAGCTCTTATAAATACATCTTTCTACACTTTTCAGTAGGAGAGGATAAACTAATTCCCGAACATCCATCTGAGTATGCTCTTCTCTAAAAGGGTAATTGCTTGGATATCCAGACGTGGATGGATTCAGCTGTTCTCTGAAAGGGTAATTGCCCGGATAAACTAATTCTCCTGTTTGATTATTGTATTTTATTGAATAAGCTTTTTGGCTTTTCCTCAACTTATCTGGGGGTGTTGTTTGTCTCTTTTTATATTAGGCCTAATGTAATATTTGTTCTTGAGTAGTGTTATTCACAAACCGATTTTTACTTATCTTACATTGTTTTTAATTTTCAACCGTCGAATCAATTAAAAAAAATGTGTGAAAAGTAAAAGTAAGTGTGAATAACACTATCTTTTGTTGTATGATTGATCCTAGTTTGCAAGGATTATAAATCTTTTAAATTCCTCTACCCTTTTATTGAGTCAACCATACTACCGTATGCCTCCTTGCCCAAGATGAATTTGCCACTTAGTACTATGTTTGTGGTACTTTTTTCACTTGTAAGTGAGAGTTCAATTGTTGTCAAAAACAAATTTGAACTATATTACTGTGACTAGCCAAAAGCGAATCAGAAACAAAAGAAATAAATTAAAAAGCAAGGCAAAATTAGTAAATCCAAAAATCGTAACGCAGTAGAGTCGTAGACAGTAGAGGGTTAGAAAAAAGAAAAATTAATGAAAATGATTTGAAAATTTTAAATTTTAATGATAAAGATAAAATAAAGAGTAAAGTAAATCATTATTAATTTTTTAAGGTGAACAGCTTTTAGAAAAAACCACAGCCCTGGCTTTCCCTGTCATCACACACAACCTACTCTCTCTCGCCCTCTCTCTCTTCCGCCTCTCTCCCTCTCTCCTCCTCCACTTTCTCTCTCTAAAAACTTGAAGCACTAGCATACAAGATTGATAGATAGATATATATATTTATATATAGGTTGTTTTGTATGTATAGCCGCCTGGTGGGCTTGAAACTTTGAAGGCTTGAGCTCTGCGTGTTGATCAGGAATAATGGCGACAGCGCCAGTGAAGTCGCCGCTGCACAACTTCCCATTCACATTCTTGAAATGGGGGACTAAGAACGCCACTGCCAACAACCACAACCGCAACCGCCGACCCGCCTCCTCCGAACCGGCCTCCGACCCAGACTCCGAACCAGACCGCTATAACCACGTCGGGTCCTCCCGCGCCGATCGCTGCCGATTATCGTTGATCCCGTGCTCGGAAAACGAGCGTCGCAGGAGCGAGGAGCGGGAGAGCGATCAAGAAGAGGAGGAAGCTGAGGTGCTACTTCAGAAGCCATGGAATTTGAGGCCCAGAAGAGCTCTGGCGACGGCGTCGTTTCAAAAGGCGAGTGGCCCTAACGCTGCGGCTGCTGCAAACCGGGAAGCGCAGGAACCGGAGGGGCCAAACCGGAGTCAGAGCGAAATGATGCAGCAGCAGCAGCCGAAGTCGATGAGGTTGAGGGGTCTGGCGGAGGGGCAGAGTGTGGAGAAGAAGAAGAAGGAGAAGAGCAAGTTCTGGATCGCTTTGTCGAAGGAGGAGATTGAAGAGGACGTGTTCGTGATGACCGGGTCGAGGCCCCCCAGAAGGCCCAAGAAGCGGCCCAAGAATGTTCAGAAACAACTCGATGTACGTCCACTTTGCCCTCTCCCATTTTGGTTGGTTTTAACATGATTTTTTTTTATTTTATGAATTTTATGTAATTTATTTCTGGGTTGAATGAATTTGCAGAGTATTTTTCCTGGGTTGTGGCTGCTTGGTGTCACTGCAGATGCTTATAAGTCTGCAGATTCTCCATGTAAGGTATATATATCTCTCTCTCTCTGAGTTTCTGCGAATTCATGTTTTGTGGGGTTTTTGATGCTAATGGATGATTGGGTTTTTGTTGCAGAGGTAGATTTGTATGGTGACTTGAAGATTGTGATTTTCTCGAAACTGCGTAAATGGAAGTTGCTGCTGCACCTGTGGAGTGGAAGCCTCAATTTTTTGAGGTATAATGTACTCAATTTTAACAGAAGAAGAATTGGAATTTACCCTATACAAGGCAGAACAAAAATATATAAGAAGGAAAAAAAGAGAAAGGATATCTAATTTCCCTTTCTTTATGTTTAGTTTAGTTTAGTCTTTTTCGGCTTTATTGTATTGCTCATTAGGGGGCAGGATGCAGGGTAAATCTAGTTGCTTTACATGGAAGTAGGTCTAATATGTATATGGAGTTTATATTATATGTGCATGATATAGCGTCAATTTCAGAACTTTCTCTTGTTAATGGTATTCAGCGATTAGGCTTGTGGGAGATTTGTTGTGCTTTCGTTTATTTTTTGAATGATTCTGATAGTTTTATTATTTGTAACATGTAACTGGCTTCCCTACATCGTTGGGGAGCAGAGTTTTGCATTGTTCTGCAAACCCTATTTCAATACAGAGTTTAGTGACTTTAGTGACTGCATCCTTCCTTGTTCTGGAAAAGCTCCGACAAGGCGAGCCTTTTTTGACGTTGAATATTAAGACATCCGCTTGTTTCATCTTTGAATTTCATGCTTTTACATACCGATGCCCGTACCCTTTGTAAGTTTTGCATTAAGGCAAGTAAATAGGTTATACATATAGGTTTGCACAATTAATGTTCAGGCATGTGGGAAATTAATATATGTTTTATGCGTGTGTAGGAAATTTGATTCTTCTGATTCCTTCTTTAATGGCATGAATGAATTTAATTATCTTGTTGTGCTTCAAGGTTAGGATCTTTTTTAGTATCTCCACGTCAGGTTAATTAGTTAATGCTAATCATTGTACTCCTGATTTGTGTGATGTTAAATCTCTGGTGTGCGTGATTTCTGCCTCCTTTCTTACCCCCCCCCCCCCGCCCTCCCCCCTCCCTCCCTCCCTCCCTCCCTCCCTCCCTCCCTCCCTCCCTCCGTCTTTCTTCCTCCCCCCTCTTTTGTTGGCTCCCAAATTCCATTTGTACTTACTGGATTGAACCTTGGCATTGGCATTTGGCGTTATCCGAGAGATGAAGTAGGGGACTTGATTGGTCGCATGTGAAAACGGTTTTTAAACAGGCCATTCCTTGTGCTATTTTCAATTCGTTCTTAAAGTTTCTGTGTCACAAAGAGTGTCGTTAAAACCGCTATTCTGAGCAGAAAAGGCACTTGTGTTTTATTTAACTTGTTTTCTGTCATTGATTAATCAAGCTTATTTCTGCCTGACATTTGATATGCTATTCCTACTACAATTTATGACCTGATTAGCGACGGTTTGGTATTAATGCTTCTTCTATGAATACAAAGTATTTGACATTTATTTTGTGCTTCACAATCAGGATGGAAGTCAGCTTAGCTGCTTCTTCAAGTATCAAGAAATTGGTACAAAATATTCTGCAGAGTGTAACAGGTTTCACATCATAACAATTCCATCAAACCTTCGGAATCAAATGTTTTACTTTGCTGTTGTTCTTTGTGGCTGCAGCCTCACAGGGTGTTTGTCGATTGTTAAAATTGATTAAGTGTTCATATTTCTGTGCTAGTATGTAATTGCCTTCGTTTCAAATGTAATATTGTCACAGCCCGTCCCTGAACTTATTATATTATATTCTCGATGATGTGAATTGACGGAATTACCCCTGAGGGATGGATTGAATCGTTGGACTTGGGCAAAATTTGGGATTTTATTTTATTGCCCTAGTTTATTTTGGTCAAGTTTAGACCTAGATATTTTATGGTTGGTGTTGTAAAAATGTTGTTTTGATGATGTGTTAGTGTGACGACCACACACACACACACTCAAAAGATCTCTCCCTCTCTCCCGTACCTTCTCTCTCTCTCCTCTCTCTCGATTTTCCTGCAAATTCCATACAAGTTGTACGGACGACCATTGCAACCTCCTTTTCACACACGGATCGAGCTTGTGGTTAGCATCATCATCTTCATCTCATCGTCACGAACCCATCCGTTTCATTTTTAGGACGTGAAAGCTTCGGGATTGTGAGAACCAAGAACCCTGAATGGAGGTACTGTTTATGCACATGTGAATGTGGAGTTTTTGGGAGATTTCAAGCTTATAGGGAGCTTAAGGACCTCTCCACAAAGCTCGGAGAAGAAAAATGACTTGATTTGGACGTCGGGAAGTTGAGATATATGCATTTGAAGTTTGGCCGGATTATCGAAGGTTCCCCAGCAAATTTTCGAGGATTTTAGGTCCCAAAATAGGTATAGTTGTGTTATACTCGTCCTAAGCTTCAATTTGATTCAAGTTTCATGGAATTTGGTCGAGAATTGGACAAGATATTGTTTTCGTGTTTTTTCAGTTTCCGGCGAACGGCGACGACGATCGGCGAGACTAACCGGAGAAGAAGATAGAATATTCCGTCAAAGTTGACGGAATATTCTGATGCCGTTAGGTAAAACTAACAGATTATGTTACTTTTTAACGGAATATTCCTAACGGCGTCACTGTTACCGTCAGTGTGCCTAGCACGTGGGCGACGAGTGGGTGGTTGGAAAATTTTTCTAAAAATGTGGGGATATTCGTGAGGTTGTGTAGATCACATTGGTATATTCAAACATCTTATTTGAGCAATGTATGAGAATTTATTAGCTAGTATTGATTATGTGCTTTAAATTAACTTTTTTATAGTTGTTTTGCATATAGGGGAGACTTATCCCGAGGACGAGCGCAGTCAAGGACGACTCGGGGTTACAACCCTTTAACATACTAGTCAGTGGGCTTTTGGTTTTCAGTATATACTTATATACTTGATATTTTCCCAGAAAATGCGTTTAAATGAAAGTATGCCTTGAAATACCATGCATATAAATTTATATTCCATATATGAACTAGTATATGATGCATATTATATAATTGTGGTGCTGTGGATGCTCAGGTAAGCCCATGTGAGTTATGAATTGTGATTGTGATTAAAGTTGTGATTGTGAAACATTGAGCTCATAAACATGCACCTAGGGTGATTGTGATTTAGCCAAAGATATGGCACAGGCCTGTATATAATATCACCTCTCGTACCATATGCTCACATTGGATCCAATTTAGGTGCACAGTCTTATCGTACAGACCATCATAGGTGGTTCCGACTCGTAGGTGACTAGCAATTCATCGCCCAGCTATCATGAGAGCGTTATATTGAGCATAATTATATTACACCCAGTCTTGTCGTACAAACCCTTTTAGTGGTTCTGACTTGTGTGTAGTGTAGTGCTGTATAGGTCATTGTAGTAACTCCGCCTAGATTGACTAATGAGCTATGAATTCAGCCGTATAGACTTCCTCAGGGGTTCCAACTAATATGTTATTTTTCATGAATTTATTCTCACATGAGTTACTTATTATATTTTATGTTTTGGTATGGCTGATAAGATTAAAAGCACACCACAAAGTAGCACACAAATGTCCTATTGATTTTCCTTATTAACACTAAGATTTGTCAATTGTAGCATATGAAAATAAGGGTCTTTCCCGCAGAAGATTGTTTTATCTAACTACCTAAAATGTCACAAAAACTGGGTTGCTGTCCCTACTGACCAGCCACCGAAAAATAATTATTAGATCGACTTATACTTTATCTAAAGTCTACGAAATTTTATATGCAGATACTAGATACACAAAGCTACACTCACACAAATATTTGGGATTTTTGGAGTTGATTTGCTATTTAAATTAAATCGAATAAAAACAGGACAGAAACAGATATTAAGTAGTTCACAAATTAAGAAAAACGAGTTAGGGGTATTGCTATCCACCACCAAATAATCTTGCAAACATGTTATGTTTCATTCAAATTTCTTTTATTTCCGGATGAAGATGCTCAAGTTGGCTCAATGTTAGAACTCAACCTATTACTCTTTCTTACGTAGTATGTTAAGAGAATGGTGTTTTCAACTTAACTTAGTCCCTAGCATGCAATCTAGAATGACGTGTTCATAGATTTAATAAGTAGAAATCATTAAGAACGAAAAGAGTTTGAGTCATCACAAGGCATCATACATACTGGCGTTGTTTTACTTATCCTAGAAATTGGTTCACATGTTAATCGCAATTAACAAGTACTACTCTAGAACATATGTAGGTCCTCATTCGACAAGGGCATGCACACACATTCATAGCATTAGAATCCTAGATATGCTTACTAAGTATGCATCCATAGAAAACAAATAAAGAATTCATCAATGAGACAAGAAGTGAACCAATTTTCATCATTCATAAAAGTAATTCAAACAAAATGTCATAACAAACTTGCAATCATATTCGGGGCTTCAAAACAACCCCTAACTTCTAAAAATTTAGTTACACATAGTTCTCAAATTAAACCAAAAGAAAGACATGAGTTTGAGAAGATAAAACCGAAAGAAGAGAATGGCAAGATTTCCTCCTTCCTTTCCTTCCTTCCTCAACGCAGCAGCCTTGCCTTTTTTTCCTTCCTTTCCTTCTTTTTTTTTTCTATCTTTTTTTCCTAAAAAAAAAAACTACTCTTTTGCCGCTGCAACCTCAGCCTTTATGCCCATGCTTGCTGCCTCATTTCTACTCTATAACTCACCCCACTAACAGCCAATTAGTGATGACAATAAGTGAGAGGAAATGGTAAAACAATTGTAACTCTTTGGGTAGCCTTTATGCCAATTACTCCCACTTAATTCTCATCTTTATTTTCATTTCCTCTAATATTTGAATAGGTATCAGCTGGCTTGTTCTTGGCTGCATCAGTTTTGGCTGCTAGATTTATTGGGTTTATTGCTTTCATTGCAGTTACAAACTGCCCAGTCTCTTGTAAACCTTTCAGTGTTAAAACAGCCATAACTTCTTCTACAAAAATGCTATTAACAATCCGCGAAATGCTCCAGAAAATAGACATCTGTAGCTTTCCAAGCATATAAGGCTTATTCTCTAATTCATTTTGAGCTGTTCGCAACTTGCTTCCAAAGTCAGCTGACCTGCACAGGCAGTTTTGACGAATTTGTTACTTAATATCCAACTTGTGCTATTTTTCTTTTCTTTGCTTGACAAATCCTAGAAAACACGAAAACAAAGTAAATAGCTCAAAAAAATAAGGAACTAACTAAGAAAAGACAAGTGAATTTGATGTAAAGTATATATAAATAGGAGCTTATCAAAAACCCCCACACTTAGCTTTTGCTAGTCCTCGAGCAAAACGAAGGAAATATGAAAAAGTAGCAACATGAAAAACAATAGCTTCCCCCTATGTGACCCTCATAGAATTTCATTCAAGAAAACAAATCATCAAGAACCTTAGCTAGCACCAAACAAGCTAATCCAAGCTCATCTTCCTTATTCAAATGTTAGCAGTAATCTTTTAATTATCTATGAAGTGTAGTGTGTGTAATAGCCATGCTAATGCAATTTCAAGTTTTTTTTTTAAAACACCACATGCTAACTAGTGATCTTCTCACGGGACATACGCTCAATCACACATATGTTTAGTTTAACATGTTTCGCTCAAAGAATCAGATGTGAAAGATCTACCATAAGCTTGCATAAAGATCTCATCTCCACAATCATAATTGCAAAACTTAAATCAAGAGGACTTTTATTGGTTGTAATGAGGCTTAGGAAGAGGGTTATAGAAATGAAAGGATAGGTAAACACAAGTTCCAAGCTACATTGCAAGCAATTCTCTTGTTGAGATTTACAAGAACTAAAGCTCTCCAACCACTCTACTAATACCTCCAACCACACTGCTAAACTGAAACTTTAAAAACATTTTATTTGCTTTGTATACTTTTTTTTTTTCGAACTAATTTTGCACATAACTAAATACAAACATGAAATACCCCCACACTTATTCTTTTTCCAAACTCCTTCAAAGTACTTCACAAACATTTCTCATAAGACAATCTCACATTGCTCACTAGCTAGCTTGGAAAGGGTAAGGAAAAATGTTTAAGGTATAAGGGTAGACATATCTGGTGATAAGAAATAAAAGGCTCAACATATACAGCTCAAATTGGCAATCTAATGATATCATTTTTCTTTAAGAAACATGCTTATTTTGGCCATGGTGATAAACCTAATGCCTCTATCATTTTCAAGTTCATGCAATCAAATGACAAATATTTTGAAAGATCGTTACGCAAGTTCTAAAGATCTAAAGTCACATAAGTTCATCATACATGAAAGAATATGAGTGTGAAAAATGCACACACTTTCAATAGGCTCAAAAACTTACATAGGTTGTATATGATCACTATATTCACATGCGAAGTTTTAAGTCATACTTTAGTTTCACATCAACAAGGCTATGTGGATTTGGTTTTTCACATATGATTAAACATGTACAAGGCTAACAGGAGAATAAGGAATTTCACACGACACATGCTTACTAAATTCTTGATCCTTGTAGTTCAAATTCGATCCAATTATATCATTGGGTCGGGAAACTAACAAAAATCTAATTCAAAGCAATAAATAAAACAAGAAAATACTTTTTTGAATTTTCAAATTTTCTGAATGTTTTTGTGTTTTTGTTTAGAGTAAATAAAACTAACTAAGAAAACAAAAAGAAACAACATGAAAACAAATCAAACCAGTTCAAATTTTCAATTTGGTCATTTTTTTTTCAATCCTTACCCTCAAACTTAAACTGGACATTGTCCCCAATGTCAAAAAAAAAAAAAAAAAAAACACACAATAATACATAAAATAAAAATAAAATAAAATAGTAAGAAACAAAATGAAGCATTTGGACTGAAAACTTCCCCAATTTGCAGTAAAATCAAGTAGTGACCCCCAAACTCCAATTTTGCAAACAACTCCAATGGTGGGCACGATCAAATTTTCCTACAAAGAAAAGAAATAATTCAGTTTAGCATGCAAGAAAATTCAGAAAACAAAAACAAACGGAAAATTGAAAAATGAAATAAAAAGACAATGAATAGAAATATTGGGTTGCCTCCCAATAAGCGCTTGCTTTTACGTCCGCAGCTAGACGGTACCAAGAGTAATCATCCAAGGGGAGATGGTTTTTGGAGGGGTACAACCTCCACATCATGCTCCGCAAAAGACTCATAATATGGCTTGAGTCTATGCCCATTCACTTTGAACATGTTTCTGGTCTTTGCACTTTGGATTTCCATTGCACCATGAGGAAAAATATTAGTTATAACAAATGGACCAACCCATCGAGAACGAAGTTTACCTGGAAATAACCGAAGGCGAGAATTAAATAGAAGAACTTTTTGTCCAATGGAAAAGCTCTTCCTTCATATCATCTTGTCATGAAATGCCTTTGATTTCTCCTTGTATATTCGACTAGACTCGTATGCATCATTTCGGATTTCTTCTAACTCTTTCAATTGAAGCTTTCTATGCTGTCCAACAACACTCATGTCCATGTTGTAGGCTTTGATCGCCCAATAAGCTTTGTGTTCTAACTCTACTGGAAGACGACATGGTTTCCCATAAACTAATGGAAATGGGGACATTCTAATAGGAGTCTTATAAGCAGTCCTATAAGCCCACAATGCATCGTTTAAGCACATGCTCCAATCCTTCCTACTAGGACTCACAGTTTTCTCCAAAATTTGCTTCACCTCACGGTTTGATACTTCTGCTTGACCGCTAGTTTGCGGATGATAAGGTGTAGACACCTTATGTGTGACATTGTACTTCCTAAGCAACGCTTCAAATGTTCGATTGCAAAAGTGACTCCCTCCATCGCTGATGATTGCTCTAGGTGTTCCAAATCTTGCAAAGATGTTAATCTTAATAAAATCTGAAACAACTTTTGAATCATTAGTTTTGGTGGTTTTCGCTTCCACCCATTTAGAAACATAATCCACAGCCAATAAAATGTAAAGAAAACCATTTGAAGATGGAAAATGTTCCATGAAATCAATGCCCCACATCAAAGATCTCAACAAGCAAAATAGGGGTTTGTGGCAATTGATTTCTTGGGCCCAAGTTACCTGTTCGTTGACAACGATCACATGTTGCACAAAACTCGTACACATCCTTAAACACACGAGGCCAATAAAAACCACTCTCTAACACCTTCAGGGCTGTCCTCTTTGCTCCAAAATGGCCACCACATGCATAAGAATGACAAAAAGTTAGAATAGATTTAAACTCAGATTCGGGGACACACCTTCTAATCAATTGATCTGTGCAATATTTCCACAAATAAGGATCATCCCACTCGGAGAATTTGGCGGTTTTGACAAGCTTATCTTTCTGAGCATGTGTAAAATCATCTGGAATCTTTTTGGTGACCTTGTAATTGATAATATCTGCATACCAAGGGTCAATAGCCTTTAATGAATTGCTCATCCGGAAAACTCACGTAAAGGGATAAAATCTTCCTCTGTGTTTGAATGCACAAATCTGCTAAGATGATCTGCTACAACATTCTCACTGCCTTTCTTATCCTTGATCTCCAAGTCAAACTCTTGAAGCAGAAGTATCAATCGAATGAGTCGCGGTTTTGCATCTTTTTTTGTGAGTAGATACTTCAAAGCTGCATGGTCAGAAAACACAATAACTTTAGTCCCAATTAGATAAGATCTAAATTTTTCTAAAGCAAATACAACAGCTAGAAGCTCATTCTCTGTTGTTGAATAATTCAACTGTGCATCATTGAGTGTTCGAGATGCATAATAGATGACATGTGGCACTTTGTTGACACGCTGCCCTAGAACTGCACCAACAACATAGTCTGAAGCACCGCACATCAACTCCTTAAGCTTGTTGAATGCTACCACACACTCTTCATTCATATCAAATGTTACATCCTTTTGAAGTAAACGGCACAAGAGTCTAGAAATCATTGAGAAGTCCTTCATAAACCTACGGTAGAAACCTGCATGTCCAAGAAAAGAACGAACCTCCCTGACAGTAGTAGCGAGGGGTAAAGAACTAACAAGTTCTACTTTAGATTTATCAACTTCAATTCCCTTTTCAGATATGCTATGTCCTAGAACTAATCCATGCGAAACCATGAAATGACATTTTTCCCAATTTAAGACTAGATTAGTTTCTTGGCAACGTTTTAAAACTAGAGACAAATTATGTAGACATGTATCAAAAGAATCACCATAAACTGAAAAATCATCCATGAACACTTCAATTATTTTCTCAATCATATCAAAAAAGATACTTACCATACACCTTTGAAATGTGGCGGGAGAGTTGCAAAGTCCAAACGGCATCCTCCGGTATGCAAATATGCCAAATGGACATGTGAAAGTCGTATTTTCTTGATCCTCCAGAGCAACTGCAATTTGATTATATCCAGAATATCCATCAAGAAAGCAATAATGAGAATGACCAGCTAACCTTTCTAACATTTGATCTATGAATGGGATTGGAAAGTGATCCTTGCGTGTGGTGTTATTTATCTTCCGATAATCTGTACAGACTCTCAAACTATTTTGCACACGTGTAGGCACTAGCTCACTAGCTTCATTCTTAACAACTATGACTCCGGATCGCTTCAGAACTACTTGAACAGGGATCACCCACTTGCTGTCCGAAATAGGATATATGATGTCAACATCAAGAAGTTTGATAACCTCTTTCTTAACGACCTCCATCATGAGTGGGTTCAAACGGCGTTGAGCTTCCCTTGTTGGTTTTGCACCTTCCTCTAGCATAATCCTATGCATACATGTAGCTGGATTTATACCTTTGATATCTACAATACTCCAAGCTATGGCAGTTTTGTGATCCTTCAGTACCCGAATCAGTTTCTCCCTCTCTTCTGTTGTGTGATGTGATGATATGATAACCGGTAATGTTTCATCCTCTCCAAAAAATGCATACTTCAAATGTTCAGGAATCGGTTTAAGCTCCAATTTAGGTGCCTGAATCACAGAAGGAAGAGTTTTTTCGTTAGAAGTAGGAAGAGAAATAAAATAGGAAGAACACTTACCACGAATTGGTGAAAGAGACTCAAGAGCGGCCACTATTTGGATTAATTCTTCTTCAATGTGCTCAGAATAATTAAGCTTTTCATGTGTAATGCTATGCACTAATGCCTTCTCTAAATTATCTTGTCCCACACCTTCATTAAAATAATCTTGCACAAAATAGTCAAACACATCAATAAACAAACAAGATTCTAATTCACTAGGGTACCTCATAGCATTGAAGATTTTGAACTTGACGCTTTCCCCATCAATTTCCATGGTTAAGGTACCATCGTAGACATCAATCTTCGTACGTGCCGTTCTAAGGAATGGTCTTCCCAATATAAGAGGAAGTGCAGTAGGCATAGGGTCATGTTCCATCTCAAGAACAAAAAAATCAACGGCAAAAATGAGCTCATTCACTTTCACAAGTACATCCTCTAATAGGCCTTTAGGATATCTATTTGAACGATCTGCCAACTGGATTACTACCTTTGTTTCCTTCAAGTCTCCAAGGTTCAATGACTCATACACTGAATATGGCATCGGATTGATAGATGCCCCTAAATCACACAATGCTCTCTTAAACTCTTTGCCTCCAATTACATATGGAATGGTAAAGCTACTGGCATCTTTCAACTTCGGTGGCAACTTTCTCTGCAAAACAGCTGATACTTCCTTGCTCAATGCCACAATTTCTTGATCATTGAATCTCCTCTTGTTCGTACAAAGCTCTTTAAGGAACTTTGCATACTTGGGCAGTTGTTTTATGGCATCTAAAAGAGGTAAGTTCACTTGAACTTTCCGGAAAGTATCCAAGATTTCCTTATCAGTTTACTCTTTCTTAGACTTCATAAACCTACGAGGAAAAGGAACAGGGACACATGAGTTAAATGAATTTTGAACTTCTTTACTTACCTTATCAGAATCTTTTGTGTTCAATTCTGTAGCTTTAAAAGACTTTTTCAGTTTCTGTTGAAGCCTCATCTTGCTCAAGATTCTTAGTTTGTAGCTCTCCTTGCTCATTTGTATCTTTTCTAGTCCTCTTTTGCATCCTTGACTGCTCAAAAACTTCTTTTCCACTCCTTAAAGTCACAACATTCATCTGCTCCGCATTTGGATTCACCACGGTCTGGCTAGGCAACCTTCCTGGTTGGTGTTGTTGCCCTATCAATCTTGCTAACTGACTCATTTGGCGCTCAAGGTTTTCAATTGCTTTGTCTGTTTTTTGTTGATGAGATTGAGTAGAGTTAGCTAAAGAAGCAATTAAATCCTCAAGAGACTTACTTGGAGCTTGTTGTTGTTGAGGCTGAAGTGGTGTCTGCGGTCTTGCTTGAAAGAAGTCAGGTGGACGGTTATAGTGTTAGGAACAGATTGTTATCCGTTGTCTTGATTGTTCCACTTTAAGTGTGGATGATCGTGCCACCCTGCATTATAGTTGTTGGAGTGTGGATCATACTTTTGCCTTTGTGGCCCCTGAAACCCTCCTAACGCATTAGCTTACTCAAGACCACCTTGATCCATCAATGAAGGGCACATGTCCGTGGCATGTCCCATCATTGAACATACACCGCACACCTGTTTTAGAGCCACCATAACCTGTTGCACAAGATTAGTCAAGTTAGCTAATTGTAATTCAATACTAGAATTAGCACTTACCTCATTAACTTTCTTAAGAGGTAGCTCATCTCACCTTCCAAATTGTCGTGTATTGCCAGCAATGTTCTTTAGCAATGCCTTAGCATTAGTTGTGTCTTGTCCATGAATGCTCCTCCACTTGCTGCATCAAGCATTACACGATCAGTACCACACAATCCTTCATAAAAATATTGTATTAAAAGATGCTCTGAAATTTGATGATTAGGACAAGATGCAACCAAATATGTGAATCGCTCATAGTAATCTCCAAAGGGTTCTCCATGTTGTTGTCGGATTGCATATATGTCCTTCCTTATGCTTGCAGCTTTTGTGGTCGGAAAATATTGCTCTAAGAATGCTTGCTTCACCTGGTTCCATGTGTTCATTGATCCCGGAGGTAAATTGTAAAGTCACTCCTTTGCCTTGGCTTCTAATGTAAATGGGAATGCCCTTAACTTGACTTGCTCCTCATCCACATTTGTTGGTTTTATTCCCGAGCATACCACATGAAACTCCATGAGATGCTTGTTGGCATCCTCTGTTGAGAAGCTATGGAACTTAGGCAAGTAGTGAATCATGCCGGACTTAAGCTCAAATCCTCCATCTGCATTTAGATAGGTGATGCACAATGGTTGTTGATCCGTATTCGGTGTTGCCAAACTCCCTCAAAGTACGGTTATCAGCCATGCCTTCTTGTGGTTCTTCCTCCTCTTCTGAACTCAAATGTAATGGAGAAGATGGTGGTAAGGACACCGATGCACGCTTCTGCTTGATTTTTCAATGAAGCTTTCGAAGTGTTCGTTCAAGCTCAGGATCGTACGAAGCTAGATCAATGCTCTTGGACCTTCGAGTATGCATATACTACGAAGAGTACCTGAAATAAAAAAAAAACAAAAACACTAATGAGACAAGAAAAGAAAACAATAGAAAAATAAGTAATTAGAAATAACAATCTCTGGCGACACGGCACCAAAAATTTGATAGGATTAAAAACACACCACAAAGTAGCACACAAATGTCCTATTGATTTTCCTTATTAACACTAAGATTTGTCAATTGTAGAATATGAAAATAAGGGTCTTTCTCGCAGAAGATTGTTTTATCTAACTACCTAAAATGTCACAAAAACTGGGTTGCTGTCCCTACTGACCAGCCACCGAAAAATAATTATTAGACCGACTTATACTTATCTAAAGTCTACGAAATTTTATATGCAGATACTAGACACACAGAGCTACACTCACACAAATGTTTGGGATTTGTTGAGTTGATTTGCTATTTAAATTAAATCAAACAAAAACAGGACAGAAACAGATATTAAGTAGTTCACAAATTAAGAAAAACAAGTTAGGGGTATTGCTATCCACCACCAAATAATCATGCAAACATGTTATGTTTCATTCAAATTTCTTTTATTTCCGGATGAAGATGCTCAAGTTGGCTCAATGTTAGTACTCAACCTATTACTCTTTCTTACGTCGTATGTTAAGAGAATGGCGTTTTCAACTTAACTTAGTCCCTAGCATGCAATCTAGAATGGCGTGTTCATAGATTTAACAAGTAGAAATCATTAAGAACGAAAAGAGTTTGAGTCATCACAAGGCATCGTAACTACTGGCGTTGTCTTACTTATCCTAGAAATTGGTTCACATGTTAATCGCAATTAACAAGTACTACTCTAGAACATATGTAGGTTCTCATTCGACAAGGGCAGGCACACATATTCATAGCATTAGAATCCTAGATATGCTTACTAAGTATGCATCCATAGAAAACAAATAAAGAATTCATCAATGAGACAAGTAGTGAACCAATTTTCATCATTCATAAAAGTAATTCAAACAAAATGTCATAACAAACTTGCAATCATATTCGGGGCTTCAAAACAGCCCCTAACTTCTAAAAATTTAGTTACACATAGTTCTCAAATTAAACCAAAAGAAAGACATGAGTTTGAGAAGATAAAACCGAAAGAAGAGAATGGCAAGATTTCCTCCTTCCTTTCCTTCCTTCCTCAACGCAGCAGCCTTGCCTTTTTTTCCTTCCTTTCCTTTTTTTTTCTATCTTTTTTTCCTAAAAAAAAACTACTCTTTTGCCGCTGCAACCTCAGCCTTTATGCCCATGCTTGCTGCCTCATTTCCACTCCATAACTCACCCCACTAACAGCCAATTAGTGATGACAATAAGTGAGAGGAAATGGTAAAACAATTGTAACTCTTTGGGTAGCCTTTATGCCAATTACTCCCACTTCATCATCATCTTTATTTTCATTTCCTTTGATATTTGAATAGGTATCAGCTGGCTTGTTCTTGGCTGCATTAGTTTTGGCTGCTAGATTTATTGGGTTTATTGCTTTCATTGCAGTTACAAACTGCCCAGTCTCTTGTGAACCTTTCAGTGTTAAAACAGCCATAACTTCTTCTACAAAAATGCTATTAACAATCCGCAAAATGCTCCAAAAAATAGACATCCGTAGCTTTCCAAGTATATAAGGCTCATTCTCTAATTCATTTTGAGCTATTCGCAACTTGCTTCCAAAGTCAGCTGACCTGCATAGGCAGTTTTGACGAATTTGTTACTTAATATCCAACTTGTGCTATTTTTCTTTTCTTTGCTTGACAAATCCTAGAAAACACAAAAACAAAGTAAATAGCTCAAAAATTGAGGAACTAATGAAGAAAAGACAAGTGAATTTGATGTAAAGTATATATAAATATGAGTTTATCAATGGCATACTTATGAATATAGTTATGTGAAGCATGATTTGAATTGAGATATTTATATATATGTTTATGTATATGTTTATATTCTATTTTTGGGAAAATTATACATGTTTTACGGTGAGGGGTTAGAGCATTTTAATGATGAAATGGTTTTGAAAAACATTTATTTTTGCCCACTCACATTTTTTGTTTTGTGCCCTTCCAGGTTTTAGGTAGACTTGCTATTGGTGGCTTTGAGGATTTCAGCGGTTCTGACAGAATAAAATAATTGTAGGACGTCTTCTGATACTGTATAATTAATAATTGTCCTACTGGACTGCACCTAGACTTTCTATGCTCTGATTAGGAGTATTTACTCTTGTATCTCACTCCTAGCACTTCCTATTATTAGTGTACTTTAGTAACTTTCGGTTTTTATTTATTCGTATATTTCTTATCTTTATTGCTTCCGCATTGTGCACATAGTTACATCACCCTCACGTGACAGCCAGCATGCCTCGCTCTCGGCCGGGGTATGTCAATTTGGTATCAGAGCCTAGGTTTAGCAGTCCTGTATATCTTGTGAATGATCTAATCATTGTGATGTCTTCTGTCAAAACTATGCCGCCTCGTAGAGAGTCACGTCACTCAGCTGAACCTAGTTTCCCTGATATTGCTCAATTAGGGGAAGTTATAGTTAATGTCATTCAGTCTTCGTTCTGTCCTCCTTAAATGACACCTCATGAGACTGTGTATAACCTAAAGCTGACTCATTTCATGGGAATGAAGGACATGAGGGATTGGAAAAGTGGCTTAATCATGTTAAGAAGACTTTCCTTGTGATGCAGAGTAAAGGGAATCTTCCTTTTGATAGGTGGGTTAAGACGCCTACCTGGTTTTTGGGTCCGGAGCCTGCATCCTGGTGGAGACAAGAGTCATATCAGATGCCACCAGAGGTTGTAGCAGATTGGGAAGTGTTTAAATAGTTGTTTTGGAAAAGGTTTATTCCCTTTGAGTACATTGATCGCAAGAAACAAGAGTTTACTCATATGAAACAAGGAAATATGTCAACGAATGAGTATTACAGGAGGTTCCCTGATTTGTCTTGATATGATCCGGGGGTTGCTGCTAATCCAGTTGAGATGTTACATCGCTTCAGGTTGGGTACTAAGAAGAACTAGCGTTCTATAGCGACATCGACTCCATGTGCCACTTACTAGGAGTTTTATGAGGTTTTAATGCGGATTGAGGACTCAGAGAACATGCCCAATGAAAGTGAAGATGAAGAAGAAAAGAATGGGAACGAGAGACAAGATGATAAAGGTAAAGGTCAATCATCTCAAGGACCTCATAAGACCCTGAGTTTTAAGAGAAGTAGTGGCAGTTCCAGCTCTTCTAGTGGAGGCTTAAGCTCTAATATGCTAAGGAGATGTGGTACATTTTCTAGAGGCTTGAGATTTTAGAGGCAAAGAGACTTTGGTGGTTCAAGTGTTCCTTTATGCCACAGGTGTAACAATAGGCATTTTAGGGAATGTAGGAGAGGCAGCAGTGCATGCTATACTTGTGGACAAATGGGGCATAGGGCTGGACATTACCCTCAGAATCAGTAGAGGCCCCAACAACCTTCCTTACCACCACATGCGCCGACCCAGCCAACTTTAGGATCTAGTGGTTATGGCTAGACTG